CTCCTTCCGACCTCCATCATCCTTACTGCAAGTGCGGAGGAGCCTTCTTTCCCTGGAGCCAGATTGAACTGTAAGGAGTGGGTCAGAATAAGTGACCGAGGGGATAGCTGTTCAAGGTCCGTCTGTTCTACAGTTTCCAGTTCAAGGTGCGCCAACTTCAATGATGCTGGCGGTTCATCGAAGCGTGGGGAAGATCATTTCTACACTGCCCATCGGCCACAATCGGCTGCAACAGAGGCAGGAGGTGAAAGCGTGTCAACAACACTCGAAGGCGCACGACAAGGCTCGAATCAATATGGAATGAAATCCGCGTGTACGGCTTACATTTATAGTCAGTGTAAGCAGCAGGCGACTGCACTTTAGTCGTAAACGTACAGGGGCCTCCTAGCCGCGATATAAAATTTGAAAGTGCCGCAAAACACCATGTCACGCAAAGTGGTTAAAATCCTTCGTGGTGTAGGCTTGAAATTTTGAATTCGAATAGACTAGTACCTAGATCTCAACTGATCCTAAGATCAAATCACCGGCAAAGCTGCTTGCGAAACAGACCCGAATGCATATTATATTGAGCTAGCACACTGTAGCTGGTACCCGCCCGAACCTCCCACTGAATCGTGCCTCTCATTTGCATGGGAAGACCGTCACTGCACACATACTCAATTAGAGCATCTGCAAGGTTCTGATGAATTCCTACTTGGATGAATCATGTTGATGTATCCTCCTCGTACCTTTTCTTGTAACCAAAGATGGCAGACTTCGATGTGTGTGAATGGTTACAATCTGCGCCCGATCGCAATGGCAACGGCTGTGCTTGCAACACGTTTTGACGGAATGCCACAACCAAACTCGAAGTACTTAAGAACCTCTTTCAATCCCAATGCTACGGAGACGCCCTTGACCATACTGTGGTACTCCGCTTCTCCCGAAGGCGTTGCCACTACACTCTGGGTTGAACGCCGTGACTGCGTCACAAGTTGGATTCCTTCCGCACGCTCCCTATCGAGCATGCCCTATTCCCACGGCGACGACCATGGAGAAAACCAGCTCTGATATTCCGACAGAGGGGTGGCCGCAATCTATATCTGAATATATGTATATATATATATACATATGAACCTGTACGACCACCCTTCAGGTGATAAGGAGGTGTTTGGGGGGGGAGAGGGGGGGGGAAACAACATCTGACTCAATCGATCTCAATGTCGATCTCACTCAACGGGACACCACGGGACACCACGGGATACCACGGGACACTTGTCGATCTCAATTTTGATATCACCATCGATCTCACTCAACGGGACACCACGGGACACCACGGGACACCGCGGGACACCTCTCAATCTCACGATCGGTCTCACTATCGATCTCACTCAACAAGACACCACGGGACACCACGGGACACCTGTCGATCTCACGATCACTACCGATACCACTTTTTGAGCCACCACGGGACACCTCGGGGCACCACATCGGTCTGAGTATCGATCTCATTACCGATCTCACTATCGATCTCACTCAACGGGGCACCACGGGACTCCACGGGACACCGCGGGACACCGCGAGCCACCGCTGGACGGACGGACGGACGGGCGGGCGGGGGAGAATCATTTGTCTTGACTTCGCCCTAGCAACTGCGGACACCACGGGACACCACGGGACACCACGGGACAACGCGGGACACCGCGAGCCACCGCCGGACGGGCGGGAGGGGGAGAATCACTTGTCTTGACTTCGCCCTTGCAACGGCTGACACCACGGGACACCACGGGACACCGCGGGCCATCGCTGGACGGGCGGGAGGGGGAGAATCATTTGTCTTGAATTCGCCGTTGCAACGGCGGACACCACGGGACACCACGGGACACCGCGGGACACCGCTTGCCACCGCCGGACGGGCGGGAGGGTAAGAATCACTTGTCTTGACTTCGCCCTAGCAGCGGCGGGTTCATTCCTCTCGCACCCCCGCGCAGCTTCGCCTCGCCCGCACGCGTGACACGAACGAAACGAAACGATTTCCCGCTTGGGGGTCTCCGTTCTACTGCGATTTCACCCCCCGCCCTTCGATGTACAAACGCATATTTGTTCGGACTTCAATTTAACATTATGCTGCGCTAGACGGGATCGGTCGTCAGGAACACCCTCGTCGCCCTTGTTGATATCCATCCACATCGTACCTGCGGGAAATTGGCCAATGACAACCTGGCGCTCCTCTTACCCTACTTTCTCAGATACCTCATGTTCTTTTGTAGATGCCCCCGAATCCCCCCGAGCCTTTTTTTTTATCGTGAGATGTGTATCGATATCGCTGCCTGGCGCGTCGCCCATCTACGCGACTGGCCTCCGTGGTAACTAGGCGCACGTCTGTAATGCGTTCACATGCCTTGCGCGCCCATGGGATCCTCAACCATACTTGGCGTCGACTTACTCCACAAATCTATTGGTGAGCCTGGATGTCCTGTGTAACTTGGTCGGAAAAGCTAGTGGCGATATTGCGAGCGCTTCCTCTGAACTCTCTCTTCCGCCCCTTCCACTGGTTCTGGCTAGCCCCGCTGCCCTCCATAATCTGGCTGGCGTCCATGTCGCAAATAACTCGGCGAAAGCGTGAGCTCCACAGTGAACCCGGAAAATCTTGGAACATCAGGCGAGGAGTGCCATTGTCTTCTCAAGCCCAGGCTGAAACAGGCGCATGTCCAGTCCACTTTCAATTTGCCAGCGCATAGCCTCGTTGATTGCCATTATCTAGCTTCGCTCACAACAACAATTTGTTGGGTTGCGCGACCTACATGAACACCTGGGATTACGGCTACACTTGCGTCGACAACCGCGGCTAATCAGAGTGAGGGGGCCGAACGGTCATTCACTGTCCCTGGGTGCGTGGCTGAAGTGGAATTCCGCGGTGCGGATTATGTTTGAGGTTGTTTGTTGTTGTTGTTTGTTGTTGTCTGTTGTTGTTTGTTGTCGTCGTCCCACCCGCAACCCGCCCCGCGGCCCACCCTGCGACCCAACCCGCGACCCACCCCGCGACCCACCCGCGACCCACCCACGACCCACCCGCGACCCACCCCGCGACCCACCCTGCGACCCACCCCGCGACCCACCCCGCGACCCACCCGCGACCCGCCCGCGGCCCACCCCTCGACCCACCCGCGACCCACCCACGACCCACCCGCGACCCACCCGCGACCCACCCGCGACCCACCCCGCGACCCACCCGCGACCCACGTTCGACCCCAACCACGTTCAAGGTACAAACCATATTTTGTCGGCGCCTGCGGCGGGCATTTTTGGCATTCCTTCCAGGTGGAGAGCCCGCGACCCACCCCTTGACCGACTCGCGACCAACCCGCGACCAAAACCACGATCAGGGTACAAACCGCATGTTTCGGCGCCTGCGGCGGGCATCTTTTGCATTCGTTTGAGGTGGAGGGCCCGCGGCCCACCCGCGACCACGTTCAGGGTACAAACCAATTTTTTCGGCGCCTGTGGCGGGCATCTTTTGCATTCGTTCCCGGTGGAGAACCCGCGGCCCACCCGCGACCCAAACCACGTTCAGTGTACAAACCAAATGGTTTGGCGCCTGCGGCGGGCTGCTTTTGCATTCCTTCCAAGTGGAAGTGGAGAGCCCGCGACCCACCCGCGACCCAAACCACGTTCACTGAACAAACCAATGCCGCACAAGCGCGGCGGCGGATTTTCGCATGCCGTCTGAGCCCGCAAGGGCCTCTTCAAGCCCCGCGCAGCCACACCAGCCCGTCCAGCAACTTTGCCATGGCGAGTTGCCTTGATCAGAAAAGTCGGGGAGCATAAAGTGGAACAAAAAACTGCGTTGCCGTTATCTTGGGAAAAGGAGGGGGAGGCAGGAGGAGTAAACAGGGGACGAGGAGGACGCGGAAGAAGAGAAGATGTAAGGAGAATGTGGAGAAAGAGGAGGAGGAGCAGGAGCACAGGAGGGGGAGGAGGGGGAGGAGGGGGAGGAGGAGGACGAGGAGGGGGAGGAGGGGAGGAGGATGATGATGGACGACAATGGGAGGACGATGATGGAGGCCGACGAGGGGGAGGACGACAACGGGAGGACGATGATGAAAGGACGAGGGGGGGAAAGGGAGGACGAAGAAGAAGAGGAGGAGGACGAGGTGGAGGAGGAGGATGACGATGACGATGAGGACGAGGACGAGGACGAGGAAGAGGAGGAGGAGGTGGAGGAGGAGGAGGAGAGCGCCATCGACGGGGAAGGTGGGGGCCACGAGGTCCGCCGGCTCGACGACGCCCGCGTCGCCCGCGACCGCCCCCTCACTCTTATCCGCAATTGCGGGGAGCTATATATTACGACTGCAATCGCAACTACAATCACGAATACAATCGCGATGACATACACGACTACAATCACGACTACAACAACAACCACTGTTTCATAGTGTAATTCTCATGAGAATCTGATCACAAATCCTTCCGCGTGTAGGGTAGCCCACACTGCATCATGCCCTGGGATAAAGAAGCCCCCAAACATCATCCAGAACGCCCAACAACAGAGGGACAATCACCTCCGCCGCGACGACGACGACGACCACATCAGCTGATTACTAAACGCCCGCGCTGAATCCGCCACCGTTACGCGCCATGAGGAAGCGGAGGATGATGAGGAGGGGGAGGGGAAGATGGAGGAGGAGGAGGAGGAGCAGAAGGAGGAGGAGAGGGAGATGGAGAAAGAGGATGGTTGAGGATCGAAGAGCAAAGATCAAAAGAGGAGGACTATGATCGAGGCTCGATGAGGAGGAGGAGGAGGAAGAGAAGGATCGAGGAGGCGGAAAAGGGTCCAGGATCCAGGAAGGAGGAAGAGCTAGGAAGAGCGAGGATCCATGATCGAGCAGGACGAGGTGGATCGAGGATCAGCACGGGAGGAGGACCGAGGATCGAGGAGGAGGAGGACGATCGAGGAGGAGGAGGAGGAGGAGGAGGAAGCTCGAGAACCGATAATGCCAGAACAGCAATCTCCCGATGACCAGCTGCGGCCGTCCGCCAGGCACGAAGGCCGGGGCCCGGGAGCGCAGGGCCGTGCGCAGCCCGGGCGGCGGCGACGCGAGCGGCGGCGCAGCGGCCGCCGCCGCGTCGCCCCGCGCGGCGGGCCGCCCGGGGCTCCCCGCAGCGCCCTCGCCGGCGGGCGGCCCGAGGAGCTGCGCCTGGCAGGAGCGCCGAGGCATAGGGCGAGGCCGGAAGGACTTTCGTGCACAAACATCAAAGCCTCCACCCTCCTCGTCCTCCTCGCCCTCTTCCTCGTTCTCTGTCCTCCTCCTCCTCCTCCTCCTCCGCCCCTCCTCCTCCTCCTCCTCCTCCTCCTCCTCCTCCTCCTCCTCCATTCCTCTTCTCTATAAATAAACCATCCCTGTTGCACCCCCGGAGCCAGGCGGAAGTGCGGTCCAGGCGTTCCGCCTGAGATTTCCCTACCACGTAAGTAGGGGACAAATAAGCCTACCTCGCTTTCGACCACCCTCGCTTACAAGAGATACCAAGCGATGCCAAACTACGGCCTGTACTGGTCAGGTGCCTTGACGAGCAGGCGCGTGGTACGACTTGGTGTTGCCTGGAAGCGAAAGCGGGGTAGGTTATTCACGCTCTGAGTAAGATCTTGAAGCTTCAAAAAATGGCAGCAGTTTCAAAAATGGCAGCAGCTTCACACATGGAGGGCGGGCTCGCCTGAGCTCCGCGTACGCTCGTCATAGACGTGCAAGAGCTTCACGGATTGACGGCTGGGGCCGCTTTCAAAGTGTGGCTCTCGCCTAAGCGCCGCTCCCATTCGTCTTTTAAAAACTGCAAGGGCTGCACGAACTGAGGGCGGTTCCTTCCAGCTTGGCAACCTGTGCGAGGCTGGGGGGTGCAGACTCAGACCCCGACATCATATCATGATTTGTTCATGACGTGACCACCAGAAAATTCAACCCATTCCCCAGGACCAACTTTTCATCTTGAGTCGTCCTTCGACGGTCACTAGGCCTGGCGAAAGCCCCCCGAAGCCGAAAACGGCATACAAAAACACCCGTCGTGTTTTTTGGCACGTCTCGAGGGGGTATGGGCAATTACACCGAACGCCGGCGACGAGCTCCGATGGCGACGTGGTGTTTACAACGATCCCCTCCGAGCGCCAGGCTGATCACCAGAGGTGGTTTCTCGACCTCGCAAAGGAGGAGGGCCGCCAGGCTGTGCGCTTGCACCGCTCCCAGGCCTGACCTGAAGCCTGAGCCAATGGACCTACGATCGCGTAAAGAAAAAAACGCGACGGAAAATGATTGGTAATTTTCGGCCCCCGTGGGCCTGTCAGAACACGGTGAGGGATGAAAAACTGGTCCTGGGAGGAAGGTCTCGACCGCCGGACAACCTCTTGAAAAACAGACGCGACGCCGAAAATCTGCAAACACCCATGGCTGGATTCACACGTGCGACGCGTGGATACAGTGGAGGCCAGTCCACAAGAAACCTTCCACAAGAAACCCAACCCTGAGACCCCAGAGCGTCCATAGATTTTTGGTGTGGGGAGGTCACGCCTTCCACAGCAACACCATCGAAACCCAAGAAACCCAAGGCACCCTGGTGGCAAGCAGGGTGCTTCTTCTTGGCATGGGCCACCACTGTACGCACGCGGAAACCTGCACACGCGGGCGAAAGGCCGAAGGCCGACCGCTGGACAAACGCCTGGCCACAGGTGTGTGTCCGGCCCTCGCCCAGGCCGCCCGCGTCGAGGGCATCCAGCTTTCTAAAGTACAAACCTCCTGGCCTGGCCAGGTACGCCAACACGTACAGTGATTAGAAGAGGAAACGCCATACACATAAACCAATGGCGCTCCGCGCGGCCTTCTTGGATCTGCGCCGCACCCCCCCCTCCCTGGCGCGCGAAGCGCCCCAGGGGCGGCGCCGGAGGAGCCGCCGGGGGGGGGGGGGGGCGCGCGGATCCAAGAACTCCGCACGGAGCGCCAACAGTGATGTCTATGTTTTTGCTGTTCCTCTCGGGAGCCAAGAGGGGGGTGTCCAAGAGGGGGGGTGCACATCATGACTGGCGGCATGTGCGCGGCCCAGGGGAGGGGCTGGGGAGGTAATGAAATAAGACGAGGCGCCATGAAATCTGGGGAAATACCCTGGGACCCTGGCCGATGATATCCCCCCCCCTAGTCGTCACCCCCCTCTTTGCCGCCCCCGATCCTCGACGGATCCTGGACCCAGGATCGGCCCAGCTGGGAGATCGGTCCAGGCGCACAGGGACGGCGCCCCGCTCCCGACCTCGGCCGCCGCCCGCAGGGCGGCGCGGACGCCCAGTGCCCGCTCGCGCTCGCCCAGGTCGGCCATATCCGCCCCGCGCTCGGCCGCCGGGCCCCGGCTCTTCGTGGGGAGCGGCGAGGCTGGGAGCTCGGCCACGGGCCCCCTGCTGCGGCAGGCGCGTGCCATGCCGCCTGCGGCGCTCGCCTCCTTCCTGACACCGCGGAGATCCTGTCGGCCTCGAGCGATCGGCCGCCGCCGAAACGTCAGGTCGCTCAACATCGACCCAGTCGGGGTCGCAGCAGTCGCGTTCGACGTTGAACGCAGGCGGCGGGGTCGCCGCCGGTCGACATGAGGCGAACCTGCCGTATCCATCGGCCCTCGGTGGTCTTCTGATGGGCTTCTTAAGACAAGCAAGAACGCCATAAAAAATAAACTTTGGCGCTCCGCGCGGATTTCTTGAATCTGCGCTGGACCCCCCTCCCTGGCGCGCCTCCGGCGCCAGGGGCGGCGCCAGAGGCGCCGCCGGGGGGGGCCAGCGCGGAGCGCCAACAGTTTATGTTTACGGCGTTTTTTTTCTTCGATTCTTCAAGGGGCGTCGACTGAACACCACACCAGTCCTGGCTGGGGCCCATGGTGGGCCCAAGATCGGTGCCTCCCCATCCTTAACACACCACAAGCGGGCAGAACGATGCCCCGATAAGGGGCCCAGGACTGCAGGCAATATGTTTATCCATATCCACTGCGTCTTGAAGTATCGGGCTCCACTCCTCCGAAACCAAAATCGCCGTGGGTATGGATAAAACAAGCTCGCCCCTAGAGGTCAGATTGTTATCCATATCTGCTGGGCCGCGGCCTCTTGGCGCCCCTTCCGAGAAAGTCCAAGACGCACAAGATATGGATAAAAATCGTGCCCGCCTGGCCTTGATCGGCGAGATGGTTTGCTGAAATCCCCAGACTTCTGACGGTCTTCGGCGGCTTCCGGCTGTCGTCGGCGGCTTTCGGGGGCCTCTGGCGCGAAAGAGAGATGGCTGCCTTCAGCAAGGGATCCGTGATCGACCACCTAAAAGAGTGTGCTGAGCCAAAGGCTCAATCAATTCGTGTCTGCAAGAAGTGTAGTGACCCGGTGTGCTGCACCAGTGTCTCGAGCCAGCGGCCGCGGAAGGAGGGGAGGTGATGGGCATGAATCGGGTACTTGGGGCTTGAAGCAAGCCCCGAGAAGAGCGACGAGAACGTCGACGACGACTCGTACAACGAAGACGATGGAAACGATGACGGTGACGAGCCGCACGTACGAGACAACGAGGTATGGCTCTACGTCCTCTGCAGAAGGAGAAGAGCAGGAAGAGCAGATGGAGGCCTCCTAAACTCGAAGATCGACAAGACACCCCTTCAGCAAAATGTCCTTTAGTGAAAACTGCCAAGAGCGCTCCAGGTGCGAACGGCACCGCATTCCGAGTGGACCCAGCGGGGTATTCTGCTAATCGACATCCAAAACAACCGAGTGTATCCGGCGAAACGCGCGTCGATTGGCGAAACCTACTGGGGTCTGTACCGGTGCACTCGAATATCAATGTCCAGTAAACCGGTGAAGACTTCCCACAAATATGGAGCTGGAGCAAGACCGCGTGGTGACCTCGGAATCCCGACCTCACCGCGCGATCCCCCGACCCCTCCCGGGGTCAACCTTGTAAACTTTTTCACCCGGGATCAATTTCTGACAGCTCCAGAACCTGGAGACGCCCCCCGGGAGACCAAGAAATACCAACCGCCCAAAACAAAAACACTCTTTGCTCGCCAAAACCAATGCAGAACCACCTCAGACCCCCAGCCGGCTCCAAGTCGGGATGGAGAAACTCGGGCTCGGGACTGGACCGCATCGCCTTCGGTGGCATCTCATGGGAGCCTCCCGTGCCATCTTGTCGGCTCTTGCGAACCGACGCTAATCGACGCTAAATCGACGCTAATCGACGCTAGGTCGACGCTAGTCGACGCTCGTGGTCCCACTTCTGCTGGCGAGGCCGCTCTCGCTTTGCCTCCGCCGATTCCTCCTCCTCTTCCTACTCGTCCTGCTCCTTTTGACGTTGGCCATACATGAAGCGAGAGCTTGTTGCGTCGTGAAAAATCAGTGCGAGGCCTCGAGGAATAAAATAATAACGCCTGGCTGGCGCAGCGGCAAAGAGAGAAGCGTGAAGAGATGGAAAAAGGACGTGAGCCCGTAAGGGCACAGAGTGTCCGCCAGCCAAGCGGTGAAGTCCCTCTCTCCTCCTACGCCTTCCGCGGATGCGTCCCTCCACGGTCCCTCCACCTCCACCGCCTCCTGCTCATCCTGCTCTTCCGCCTCTCGCCCCTACAGTCATTCCGCAGAGTAAGGATGCAAGGCCCTTGGACGCCCGTTTCGAAGCGCTTCGAGCGGGGCGCGGCCAACGACAATGTCCAAGGATGGACCCAGGAAGCAAGGATGCAAGGGTACCCTTGGGAGGAATGCCTATCCGTACTCTGCGGGTCGACTGTATCATGAGAGGCTGCACGCCCCCGACAAGTGCTTCTGGTGCAACCCTTTCGCGCACCTCCGATCCGACCCCGTCCTGATCCTGCTCGTCCTGGTCCTCGTTGCCGTCCCAGTCGTCGTCGTCGCCGCCGCCGCCGTCGTCGTCATCGCCGCCGCCGTCGTCGCCGTCGTCACCGTCGCCGTCGCCGTCGTCGTCGGCGGCGTCGGTGTTGGCGTCGGCGTCGGCGTCGGCGTCGGCGTCGGCATCGACGTCGGCGTCGGCGCCGGCAATGGCGTCGTCGTCGTCGGCGTCCTCCTCATCCTCCTCCTCCGCCTCTTCCTGTTCTCTGTAGAACTACTCAAAATGAATACATCTCCCCTCTCCCCTGAAGATGACCAAGGAGTGGCCCGCCCCCGTCAGCGCACTCTCTCTTATACACAGGATTCCATGATTTGATGTTCCCCGTCGTTTTCGATCGGAGAATCTTCGGTGTCTCGAAAGGGTGCTGCCGCTGCAGCGTGTGCCTCATCCTAGGATCGGCACTTTGCTCCCGTCGTTCCGATTTGCGCTCTCGTCCCAGCGCGGGCCACTTTTATGGATACGAATGCTTCCTCGTCGTTGTCGCCCCGCTCTTTTCCGCTCCCCCGCCATCCCCTGGTCATCCTACTCCCCCCCGCTTCCTGCTCCAGCTGTTCCTGCTCGTCCTTCTACTTTCTCGTCCTCATTCTCGTCCTCCTGGTCTTCCTCCTGCTCATCCGCCACTTCCCCCTCCTATGTACGTAAACCCCCTGCTTCCGATTGAACATGGCACGATCAAGTGCTGTCTGGAACTCTAGGTCCGCTATGGCTCACGTCGGCGAATAGAAAATATCAACGCAATGGGAAGGGACGGGTGGTAGGGGTAGGGGTCAGGCCTGCGAGCGCCACAGCATGCTAGTGAGCGCCCACGCATGCCTATCAACAACACAACATGCCTGTGAACACCACGCCTTGCCCGTTGGGAAACCAGCGGTCCCCCCGAATACGTTCGGTAACGTTACGGGGAAGGAGTGGGAGGAAGGGGCGGGGGCGACCACCCGCAATGGACGTTACGGGTTCGCCGAATAAACAATTATCCCAGTGCGACCCTACCTAGGAGTTGGAGCATTTAGGAAAGCAACATCCACATCTACATCGACAGCTACATTTACATCTACACCTGCATTTACATCTACATCAACATCAACAACGAGACTCACATCTACATCTACACCTACACCTACATATACACCTACATAGACAGGTATGCTACTGGGAGACTCACATCTACATCTACATCTACACCTACACCTACATCTACAGCGAGACTCACATCAACATCTACACCTATATCTACACCTACCTCTACACATACAGCTACACCTTAGCTTAGCTTAGCTGCGCTATGCTATGCTATGCTGTGCTGTGCTATGCTGTGCTATGATATGCTGAGCTATGCTATGCTTGGCTATGCTATGCTTGGCTATGCTATGCTATGATGTGCTAATGCTGCACTGCGCTATGCTGCGCTGCGCTAAGCTAAGGTGAGCTAAGCTAAGGTAAGCTAAGCTATGCTAAGCTAAGCACAGCTAAGCTAGGCTAGGCCAGGCAATGCTAAGCTAAGCTAAGCTAAGCCAAGCCAAGCTAAGCTACGCTAAGCTAATATGAGGTAAGATAAGCTAAGCTAAGCTAAGCTAGGCTAGGCAAAGCTAAGCTAAGATGAGATAAGCTAAGCTAAGCTAAGCTAAGCTAAGCTAAGCTAAGCTTAGCTAAGCTAAGCTTAGCTTAGCTAAGCTGGTTGAACCCAGGGGGCGCAACTGGGGGAGCCGCGGGGCGGATACTGGGGGAACCGCCCGGGGCGCTTTCCACTGCCCGGCCCCTTTAAGCCCAGAGAGTAAGAACCCTTCTAGGCAGAGCCTAGGTAGGGAACCAATCTCCAGGATGTTAGACATGGCGTGAGAGCACCTAGCTTGCCTCATCCTCTCTCCACCATCGTACCTCCTCCCTCCCCTCTCCTCCCTCCTCCGACTGGCTCTGCGCTGGCTTCCGATAGAGGGTTAGTATAGACTGGCAGGGGCACAATATTGCCCGCAGGCGGCCCCCAGAGGTGGCGCAGGGGCCCGTCTGGGGGGCGTCGACGGGGGGGACGCTGACTGTCGAGAGCGCTTCGGTATCGAGGGCCCAACTTGATCAGAAAATGATGGCGGTTGTGTTGGTGATGGCGATGATGATAATGATGGCTGTGATGATGATGCTGATGCAAATGCCGATGATGATTGTGATGATGATGTTGATGATGATGATGATGAAGCATGATTTCTGAAATTTCCTGTGACGATTGTGATGGTGATTGATGACATGCTGATGGTGATGACGGCGATGGCATGGCCGTGGCGACAACATCGATGGCGACGACGTGGCAATCCTTAACAAGGTGCACGCCCGTGCTGGATCAATCAGAACTGCTGTCCCGTGGGTGGTCCCCTGATAAACCCGTAGATGTTCCGTGGTTGACACATCGTTGTCCCGTGATTGTCCCGCTGTGATTGCAGCATCTACAAAAATGGAAAACATAAATCGAGAGGGGTATCAATCGGTAGGGCGGGAAAGAGAGAGAGAGAGAGAGAGCGAGAGCGAGAGAGAGAGAGAGACACTAAAGAGATAGCGAGAGGAAACTGCGAGTTCGAAAGATAGAGATAACGATCTGTAGCTTGATAGTCAGATCGAATGAAAGATAGCGCAGACTGGTTGATGGGCGGGTCAAGATCGACACGTTGATCGTTCACGAGATCCGTCAGGTCCCAATCGCAAGCAGAAAGCTGCACACACAACCCAACCTCCTTATCACCCGAGGGTGCTCCTGTAGGTACGTGGCAGCTGTCGTTAGACTCGTCGGGTTGGCTAGTGGAAGTCCTTTGGGGTCGTTTAGGTGCCCTTCTCGGGTGCCTCTTGAGGTCTCTCGGGGTCCTCTTTTGTGCCTCTTTCGACCTCTTGCAACCATCTTGAGGGGCTCTACAGTCAGAGGACTGTGTGTTGGTAGTGCAATTCGGTGAGCATACCATATCGGGCAGATTTAGTGTCCATCGTCTTGTTCACAACCTCATTGCATCCGTAGCCGCTTTGGCTCCAATGGCGCGCTTTCAGATCGCACCATGGCGTGGGCGGATTCCTTCTGTGGACCGACGGCCGACGACGATGACGTCCGACAACGACGACCGACCGACCGACGACCGACGACTGGACCGAACGACCGACCGACCGACCGAAACGACGACGACCGACGAACGGACCGAACGACCGACCGACCGAAACGACGACGACCGACGACGACCGACCGACCGACCGACCGACTGGGACGACGACCGACGGCGACCGACGGACCGACCAACCGACGGACCGAGACAACGACGACCGACGACAACGACCGACGGACCAACGACCGACAGACGACAGCGCGGATTGACCCCGTTTGGGAGCAAGGCGCGGGTACAATGCTAGGAACCCTGCACCTGGCCCGTCGGTTCCACCCTATCCCCCCGACTTCTTCATTCAAGCCGTAAGCCTGGTGAGGTTCCAGCCGTCAATTTCTACGAAGGAAAGTGTTCGTGCCGCCTATGCCGACAAGAAACAATGGTCCCAGCCTTCAATTTTCACCAGGGGAAGTGTTCAAGACGCCCACGGCGTCGCCTCCAGCCAATACTTTTTACCTAGCGCGAGTGCTCCAGCCGCCAACTGTGTGGGTTCCAGCTTAGCGAGAGCGTTTCAGCCGCCCACGGCGTGGGTTCCAGCCATGCGCTTCTATTAAGCGGGAGCGTTCCAACCGCCCACAGCGCGGGTTCCAGCCGTGCATGTTTAACGAGCGCGAGCGTTCCAGCCGCGCACGCCGTGGGTTCCAGCCACGCATTGTTACCCAGCGCGAGCGTTTCCAGCCGCACGCGGCGTGGGTTGCAGCTATGCGCGTTTACTGAACGCGAGCATTCCAGCCGCCCACGGCAAATTCTCACTAGCAAATTCGCCCACTGACTGTAATGACCCAAGGACTCACGAAACTGGCGCCTCTTCATTCGGCGTCTAGCAGCGGGGATGCGATGTGCAATTCGATAGTGTTGGCTGCCAGCAAAGGATGTGAGCTCTAGCTTTGGGACCGCGTGAAGCGGCGCCTTGCAGAACTCCCCAGAAACTCAAGGAAAAACGACTTGCCTTCGCCGTGTAATACCACTGCGGAGGCGAGGTCCAGCTGTGACCCCGTGACACCCCCCCGCCGGACTCTCCAAGGACGCAAGGCATGGCGACAACTCTACGTTTGACAACACAACGCGGGAGGAGGGGCCCAACTGGGCTCCCGTAATACGGCTCTCCGATGAGTCCTGGGGGGCATCAGGAGGTGGCGACAGCTCTACTAATGGAGGCCCATACAGGGGAACGAGGTGTAGTTTGGGTACTCGCAAGAATGTGTGTTCGCTGGACTGCCCAAGCGAGGCAACAATAGCGAGCAGAGGGGAGGGATGACACAGAACAACATATATGATATGAGAGGTCAGGACGCGACATAACAGCAGAGAGGGACTCAGCGTGGATACGACAGCAGGAACAGCAAGTGAGAGGACCCAGCAAGATCAGGGGTTGGGAACAGCCTGGGCATACGATGATCCCGCCAACAATGCATCACGGATCCGAATTGCGGAGAGAGCAGAAGGGAACGGTGCCAATGCAGGTTTGGTACAATGGGCAGGCCTCCAGTCTGAGGTTGCCTGCATCCAATACTCCTCAAACGAGCTGCCATTTCGCATCCCTCGTTTCCCAAGATCGCTGTCCTGGGATCCCCTTCCAACCCAATCGACCACCGCTGATGGTCTGCGCCCTGCATCGTTGACAAGACTCACGTCCTCGTCCTCGCCATTACCGTCACCCATACCGCCGCCGCAGCCACCGAGCGTCCGACCACACCTGCTCCAAAAATACACAGCCATCCACCATAACACTGCGGCGGCGCATGAAGTTGGAGACGCGAGCGCCATGCTGCTTAGAGCCCTCTGTTCTTTCATCCATCTCTCTCTCTCTCTCTCTAACGCTCTCTCTCTCTCTCTCTCTCTCGGGTTGCCTCTATTTCCCGGATGAGGCCGTACCTCTTAGCGTTGATGGCCTCATTCGTGGTCTTGTTGACCGCCACGTAGAACAGTTGTTGCGTGACCAGTATGTGGATCCTGCAGCACTTGTTTCCAACCGTCTGTACATCTAAAGACACGCTGAGAACTGTGCAGCCTGGGGCCCACTCGCTCGGCACCACGCGCTGTCATATATCACATCGAAAGACACACATGCAAATCATAGCCGTGAGTGTCTCCAGGGCAACACTGTGGCCCTTTCTGCGAATGCCCATAATTATGTTGCAAACCACTCTAACCTCTTCGAGCAGAATACGGGTCGGGTCGGACGAAGGGGAGAGCATCAAAGGGGTGCTTGACAAGGTTTCTGGAATGCCCCGCCTGATGAGGCCGCGTCTGAGCGGCACGCTTAGGTGGCGACACCCGAATCCGAACCCCCGAGCCATCGATTCTCCCAAATCGATGGGAGGCGAGGATAGGGTTCGGAGTGTGCCACGTGTTCGACAAATTCCGGATCCTACCCCGCCGCCAATGGGGTTGCCTGAACTCTTGATCGGCGAGGGTAGGGTTCAGATTTCGCCTCCCAGCGCTCGCAATTTAGTCCGTTTTGCAGCTCCCTGAGCCGAGCCCCTGGCTCGCTGCCGCCATGCGCGGGCTGCCCGGCGCGCCCGGCGCGGCGCCCACCGACCCCCTCCCGTCACCCCCGTCTCCTCGCTTGTCGCTTCTCCCCTCTCCGCCCGGGGGGCCCCTCCTGCGCTGCGGAAGGGGTGCGTCGGTGTCCCGCTCGCTGTTCGGCTCCGTTTCCCGCTTCGGTCGGTCATGTCGAGGGCCAGCCCCGGGGGGAAAGCGAGACGGGGCGGGCCATCTCAGAGGGCTCGGAGGTCTCCGGGCCTTCCGATGAGTGTCCAAAGCCTTCCCCGGGGACGCAGGACACCTCTCAGAAGGCCCGAGGGCCGCCGAGCAGTGCTGCCCCCTTCTTCTGGGCAGGCCTTCTCCTGCCCCCCCCCGCTCGCCGCCGAGTCTTCCGATACCGCTGCTCCTCAGACCTCTCCAGGGGTGCGCTCTGGCCAGAACTTCGGGGCGAATCCAGCGGTGGCGACGAGGGCATCCCAGACAGGCGGAAGCGAGGCAAAGGCAGCTACCTCTCCTCCTCTGAGGCGTCCCGCTCGCTGCTCGGCCCCGTTTCCTGCTGCGGTCGGTCCTGGTCGGGCTTCGGGGCATCCGAGCATGGTGTAAACGGGTCTTGCGGGAAACGGGCCCGGGGTCCCCCCCCAGGACCAGCTCATCACGTTGACTCGTTCTGACAGTCCCAAGGGCCGTGGAAAGCCCCGAGACCCCGAAAACGGTGACAGACCTCAAGGCCCCCCATTTCCCTCAGGACCCGCCCCCTATGGCGGAATGGCCGGGCTTCGGGCCAGCGTGCGGCGGCGCCCTTCCCGGCCGCGGCCTGCGCGAAGTCCTGATGCTACGGGCCCCCCCAAAAAATACACCACCACCACCTCCCTCACACCCTCCCTCTCCCAGGAAAGAGGAGATGAAGAGAAGGGTAGTGTATGTGAAGAGAGGGGGGGAAGAGGAGATGGAGAGAGGGAAGAGGAGATGAAGAGAGGGAGGAGGAAGAGAGGGAGAGGAGATGAAGAGGAGATGAAGAGGAAGGAGGAGGAATCGACGTGGTGGTGGTGTATACCTGCCCCCTCTCGGGTCGGAGGAAGGGGCAGGCTGGCAGCGGCAGTGCGTGTTTGTTCTCACCTCGGACCCCCGGGGCGCCTGGTCGCAGTTGAATGTCAAAGGGACGCCGCACGTGCACGGCGCCCAGGAGGGCCCCACAAGGGGCCAAAAGCCTCGGCCCCAGCTCAGCCCCGTGGGCTAGGGGTCGACCTCCTGCAGAGCTCCTGTCGCTGCGCAGCCTTCGCCGCTCCCTCTGCCACAGCACGGCGGCCACGAGCGCCGGCCTCCTCGGGCGAGGCGAAGCCGAAAGAGGCCAGCACTCGTTCGAGTGTTGGCACGATGAGGTGCTGAGAGGGCCTCGCTGCTGACCCCGCAGCGGGCCTCGCTGCGCGGCAGGGCATCGGATGCGGAACGCCTGGATCAGGAATCCAGGGTCTCAAGGCTGGTGGAGCTCCAATCATGGACTGGCCATGGATGGCACCGCGGCCTTCATCAGGTAAGGAATCCTACAAGGAGAGAAGCCTCCGGGACACACTCCGTAACGAGCGCCCCCACCGTAGCAGCACAAAGGCTGACAGAGACTGATCGGGATGCGGAGGGAGAGGAAAAGGACCCGAAGTGGAAGAGGAGGGAGTATCACGCTTTGGGAGGGGGCGGGTGAGGAAGCGCGACAGGAGGAACCAGAAGAACGGAAGGAATGCACTGGAGTGAGGAAGCAAACTCATGAGGACGGGGCAGGCAGAGGAAGAAAAGAAAGAGAGGGGGGACTAGGGAGGAGAACGAAGGAGGGACGGATGACGACGTCAACGAGAAGGACCCACTCAACCCCCACAGCAGCCCGCCCCGTCGCTTCGCGCGCCGCCTCTATCGACTCCATGTGCAACATTTATCCTCGCCCTCCCCCTCGCCCCGTCCATACTGACACCCGCTCCTCCTCATCACCATCATCAGCATCACCACCATCATACGTATAGTCCTGCTCGTACTCCAGAAATCATCACCCTGCTACCTCTGGCAGCGGGGGGCAGAAAAAGGGGGTCTGTCATGGGCGCCGTCAGACACTGCACCTCCCCTCCCCTGAGCCGTAACATGCAAAACCGAAAAACGGTGATCGATCAAACGCATGTCGGGTCATAGTATGATATCCCACCGTTACACTCACCATGCCACATGCGCAATGCAGCCTCTAGAGAAGAGGGAATGATGAGAAGGACCAGGACGATGAAAAAAGGAGGCATGGAGGAGAGACTAGAAGTAAAGGGTGCAAGATGGGAGCGAACCTTCCTTTGCACACATGAATGGCGCGAGGGGGATCAAACGAGTATAACACGAGCATGGAAACAACAACCTCCAGGTCCCCGAGAAACAAACTGCAGCGGCAAAGAGAGACAATGAGGAGAGGCAGAAGGCAACACAATCGGAGATGAGGGGACGAGATCGAAGTGGAACGGAGAACTCCCCTACCGGGAAATCGATTTCGGTTTCGTGTTCGTGCGTGCCGTGCGTGCGGGCGAGGCGAAGGTGCGTGGGCGAGCGAGAAGAAAGTCTCCTGTAGCTGAGGCGCGGCCGGACCAAATGATTCCGAACCGGCGTCCGGTGGCCCGCGGTGTCCCTCCGGTGTCCCACCTCCCGCTGAGGCGCTGCCGGACCAACTGATTCCGAACTGGCGTCCGGTGGCCCGCGGTGCCCCGTCGGTGTCCAGCCTCCGGCTGAGGCGCGGCCGGACCGAATGATTCCGGACCGGCGTCCGGTGGCCCGCGGTGTCCCGCCCGTGTCCCGTCGGTGTCCCGATGATGATGATGATGGTGATGTCGATGATGTTGATGATGATGGTGGCGCTGATAATGATGATGTAAACGATGCTGCTGATGATGATGATGATGATGATGGTGATGGTGGTGCTGATGATGATGGTGTCCCGATGATGATGGTGTTGATGATGCTGTTGTTGATAAAAATGTTGATGTTCAGGATGATGATGATGATGAGATGATGTCGATGATGATGATGATGATGACGTTGATGACGATGGTGTCCCGATGATCATGATGAGGAGATTGATGATGATGTTGGTGATGCTGGTGATGGTGATCATGGTGCCCCGATGATGTTAATGTTGTTGACGATGCTGATGGTGAAGGGATGGTGTACCGATGATGCTGATGATGATGATGATGATGATGATGCTGTTGATGATGGGGATGATGGTGAAGTGATGATAATGATGATGGTGGTGGCCCGATGATGGTGATGATGATGATGTTGATGATGATGGTGCCCCCGTGATGTTGAAGATGGTGATGCTGATGATGATGGTGATGATGATGATGGTGTCCCGATGATGATGGTGTTGATGATGCTGTTGTTGATAAAAATGTTGATGTTCAGGATGATGATGATGATGAGATGATGTCGATGATGATGATGATGATGATGATGATGATGACGTTGATGACGATGGTGTCCCGATGATCATGATGAGGAGATTGATGATGATGTTGGTGATGCTGGTGATGGTGATCATGGTGCCCCGATGATGTTAATGTTGTTGACGATGCTGATGGTGAAGGGATGGTGTACCGATGATGCTGATGATGATGATGATGATGCTGTTGATGATGGGGATGATGGTGAAGTGATGATAATGATGATGGTGGTGGCCCGATGATGGTGATGATGATGATGTTGATGATGATGGTGCCCCCGTGATGTTGAAGATGGTGATGCTGATGATGATGGTGATGATGATGATGGTGTCCCGATGATGATGGGGATGCTGATGTTGATGATGATGATGATGTTGCTGATGATGGTGTCCCGATGATGATGATGATGGTGATGATGATGTTGATGAGGCTGTGCATGATGATAATGAAGTGGTGATGATGACGGTGGTGCTCCGAGAATGATGGTGCTGTCCCGCGGATGATGATGTCGATGATGATGATGGTGACGCTGATGGCGTCCCGATGATGACGATGCTGATGATGACGAATTTGGTGATGATGGTGATGATGTGATGATGGTAAGTGTGTCCCGATGACTGTGATGATGTCGATGACGTTGATGACGATGCTGTTGATGATGATGATGACGTTGGTTGTGGGATCGGTTGTGAAATCGATAGTGAGATCGATGGTGAGACCGAGTGTGAGATCGATTGTGAGACCGATAATGAGATGGATTTTGACATCGATAGCCGCATCGATTGTGAGACCGGTCGACTGAAATAGATCGAGTGAGGTCGATTGTGAGATCGATCGAGTGAGATCGATCGAGCGAGGTCGATTGTGAGATCGATAGTGGCATCCCCGAATTTCCTTATCACCCGAAGGGTGGTCGTATAGGTATCGACTATGGTGCTCAAGCGGGTCTGCTCGTGCCTCGACGGTTCACATGTGCAAATCACACCCAAACCAACGAAGCAAAACCAAACTGAGCGGAGGAGGCCTGCTGCTGACCAGGTCTCACGAAACAAATATGCAAACATGGGAAAACCCACGAGCCCTCTACTAATCAGGCTCCTCATAAACAACTGCCGGATCTAGGACTCGGGCCAAAACGGCGGCGGTAACGAAAACTCCGGATCCTGTCGCTTCAACTGCCCCTGTGCTAGGTCGGAGCACGCAGCTACTCACTCGCATGCTCAATGGTCCGAAACCTGCCGCCCCACAAGCACAATTCGTGGTGACAGCCCTCTCGCTGGCATGCCTCGCTCTTCCTGCTCTCTCTCTCTCTCTCTGTCTTTCTTGATGGATTGCGTCGCATTCGCGAACGCAATTCACGATGCGCGCGTCGGTCACTCGCCGAATTCACGAACTGGACATGCGACGCTGAGTGGGTTACCCACCGGTTTCGTCGTTGTCCCTGTTGAGGTTGCTGCCTTGGGAGCTCGGCATCGTCGTCTTGCGCCCCTCCTCGCTCAACCTCACTGTTGGGTGTTCGTGGGCAAACTTCCCTTCCGAGATGTCGAGGGCGACCTCCGGGCCGACGCTTTCGTTTGTCGCGGGGTCGGCCCTCCTGTCGCGGGTGTCGCACCACAGGATGTCGGCCACCTCTTTGGTGCGCAGCTGGTCGGATAGCCACCGTAGGTGGCCTGCCATACTATTCTCAGGCGGCGGCCGCGCGTGGCCCATGGCCAGGGCGGTAAAGACGGAAGTGCCGTCTATGAACAGCTCAGCCGGCACAGCGTAGCCCCCCTCCCCACACGGCCTCTTGATTTTGTCTGCTGAGGCTGGTCTGCGTACCATCTCGCGGAGCGTCAGGAGATGTGCCTGGGCGCCACCTGCTGCTTCGCATGATGCGAGCAGCTCGTAGCCGAATGACGATCGACACACGAGCTTGTGCGATCGGCTGACAGCTTCGAGCAAGCGGCAGATCAGTTCACCAACATTGCGGCCCTTGCCCAGACGCGTGTATACAGCGCCACGCACGCCGCACCCCCTCCTCCTCACGCTTGAACGAGCCGTCACGACGCGCGACTTGATCTTCTGCATGGCCAGAACAACGGAGTTGAGACGCATCGCGTGTCTGACGAGCAGCGTTCTTCTTGGCCCGTCGCAGCGAAACTGCGTAGAGGGCAAAGCGGCGTTGCGCGAGAAGCGCGTAGGCAGCGGCTTCGAGGAAGCAGACAAGGAGATCCGGGAGTGGACCTCTGGCCAGCTCGTCGGGCTTCGATTTGACCAGGTTGACGCTCCCGCTGGGGATCAGCGCGTCGATGTACTCGCCCTGGTCGCGCGTCACTGCCCCATCGGCACGAAGGTGCCGGTGGACTCCGCCGTTGGCGAAGTCGTCGTAGTCCCCCGTTGTTTGGCCGAAGACGCTCTCGATGCGGTCGACGAGTCGGTCGACGCGCCCCCTGCGTCCAGCGCAATTGAAATCGTTCGCGCGCTTGGACAGCACGAGCGCCGTCCGAGCCGCCAGCGCCGCAGGCGCCGGACGCCCGATGTTCGACCTCGAGCTCAGGGCCCTATCGTGTCGGCCTTGTGATGTACTTGGGCGAGGGCGTGACCCTGGCGAGCTCCATAGAGAACGAACGCTTTGGGCGCATCCCTGCAGCCCGTGCCCGGCTCGATGCAGCGCGGGCGCTCGGCCCGCTCGTCAGAGGACACGTTGCCTGGCGGCGCTGCCGGGCGACAGGGTGAAGCCCGCCTCTCGTGGAGCTTCGCCATGCCCCTGCATCTTGGCAATGGTCATGCCCAGCAGGAAAGCCTTCTCGACGCCCGCGGCGACGCGGACCCTGTCGGGGCGACGGGCCGCCTTGGGGGACAGAGTGCGCTTGGACGCCCGCTTCGCCGCGCACGATTCTAAAGCTCCAGCGCCCATGTCGCGGAAACCTCTAGGCGCGGCAAACCACCAGGTGATCCTCGCCGTTTTTGCTGTCAGGTCCTATGCGGTGCTTCCACTTGAAGACGCGTCTGGGGCCCATGACGTTCCAAGCGCCTGTGGGAGGTCGTCGCTCGGAACACTTGTATTGGGCCCAGATCACGAGCTCCTCGAGGATGGCTGCGGCCACCTTCTTGGACATTTCGACGCCTCCTCGTTCGATAGGAGAACGGCGTCGCGCTTGATTGCCGCGGTCATGACGGCGGCATATACTGTAAGCGCGGCAGAGGTGGACGCGTCGGCAACTAAGCATCCTCGCGGTAGTGAAGGATGCCTCTCGCACTCCGGGGTCCATGTACAACGCCGCGTGTTCTCCTCCTGTGCTGGCGCTGGCGCTGCGCCTCCAGGTGCCGGGGCCTCTCGCGTGGCTGGCGGCCTATGCTGGCGGCAGCGTGCTCGACGGCAGCGCGGGCCACCTGCTGGCTGTCGATGCTCTCCATCTCCTGTAACTCCTGGGCCAAACCCTCCGCGCCCTCGGCCTCCTGTGAAGCTGCCAACATCAAGTGTTGGATGTAGCCCGAGAAGCCGCTAGCGGCCTCTTCGAGACCCGCAAACAGGCCTGATGCTTAACAGCCCTCGGTGACGCTGGCGGCGTCCTTGGGCACGTCGAAAACGCAGTCACCGACCGCCCCGCCCTGGCCCTGCCCGACGCCAGCTGCTAGTAGCTCTTCGTCACCCAAGA